ACATCTAAACGAGCAGCCGTCTCTTCAGCACACAACATGCCGTCAACTAAACGAGTCCCTGTAGACGGTGGGGTCGGGGCCACTGGAGAACGGCTGACTTGTGCACGGAGATGGTCTTCATATGCATCGGCATCCACCTGCTCCTGCAGTTCCTGCCTTTTCAATTCATCGCCAAAGACTCGCTCCTCTCTACTCAAACTGCTGCCAACAGGTACGCTCGTAACCCCATGATACGGACTGCACATGGCCTCAGGAGCACGCCGTACCCGCTTCTGCGGCCCAAATGCTGACTGCGTCGCCTGGGCGTGTCGAATAGACGTAATCTGCTCCTCGTAGTGCCTATGGCGTTCTTCTGCTTCGCGAACGGCTGCCACAGCTCGTCCTCGATCCCGTTCGGCCAGTTCTTTGTGCTCAGCAAGACGTGCCCATGCCACCCGATACTCCTCCTCGTTCTTGCTCTTCATCTCGAGTACTTGTGAGAACATCACCTTCTGAGCGTCTTCGAGTTGCTTCCAGTCTTGTTGCCGAACGCTCTTCTGCTGCTCAACAGTATCTGCCAGTCGCTTCGCATGAGTCTCTTCTCTGCCTATCAAATCAGCCTGTGCCTTCGCGAGGAGGTCTCTCTGCTCGGTGATCAATTCTTCCTGACGCTTGCGCTCCTGAGCTTCGAGACGGGCCTCAACCTCTCCACGCTCGGCCTGCTGCCTCCAGTATCCAATGTGTTCTTCAAACATCCTGCGTTGCTGCTGCCATTCCACATTAGTATGATGCATCTGCGCCGCAAACCTCTGAGACTGTACATACTGCTCTTGCACAACAGCTTGACGAAGTTGCTCGACGTCTTCATGATGCTGGTGTGGCTGGTGCTGCGCTGCCTCCAGGAATGGTGCCCCACCAACGACTTCCGCCACCGTAGCCTCCGTGACCCCCGTCGGTCGGTACCCTCTGCCTCCCAAGCGCCCCATTGGCTGGGGAGGTGGACCATGCCTACCTCCCAAGCGCCCCGTGGGCTGGGGAGGTGAGCAGTGCGTGCCGACGGGTGTTGACGAACATGCCATACTTCTTGGTGGTGCCGCTGGAGGTAGTGCTGAAGTCGAAGATGCCAGCCTGGGAGGTGCGGCCTCAGGTGGGGGCCTCTTGGGAGGATGCCCTACCAACTGTGAGTGTACAATACTAGACGCCAGCTCCTTCTGGATCTCCTCCGCAGACAGTTGGCCTCCGTACTGATCACTCATCGTCCGACGCTCCAATCCAGAGCTGGCTGGCGGCGTTGGTGTCAATCTTGTTGGGGACCCAGCTGGGGAACTCGCTATCGTCTTCGGTGGCGACCTTGTTGGACTAGGAGATCCTCGACGAGCACCGTCCTGAGCTGGGTTCTGAACTCCAAGCTGCTGGATCGTGCCTCGTCCCCTCGTGATATGCCCCTGCGGTGTACTCAATGAAGCCTGGCAGCGCAGGTGTTTGCCGTCCACAATCGGAGTGGGATACCTTGCTGGCATCGCTGGCTGGGCTGGCGGTGGAGGTGGAGGTGGAGGAGGTGGAGGGACTTCATCCTCCTCTTCAGCTTCGCGACCAGAGCTCTTGGCCCTCTCCGCAAGATCCCGTCGTCGATCGTACCCATAATCTTCGACAGCAGTACTGTCTGAAACCTCCTTCCTGGCCTCCACTGCTTCTCGGAATAGATCTCTGTGGTATTCGTACAACGTTCGTTGATATAGCATATCGTCCGCCAAAATCTGCTGCTTCTTCTCTAGTGCCGCGATCTTCTCTTCAGCTTGAACCATTCCTGCCTGAGCCTCAGATCTCTGGACTGCCACGGGTTTCAACTGCCAGTGCATCCACTTCATCACACTCAGCTCATGCTCCTGTGCCGCCATGTACGTACCCGCCTTCTTGCCCTGCACAAGTAGCTCCGCCAGCTTGAGCATCCTGTCCTCCACCTGCTGCTTGTACTGCTTCATTTCTCGGGGCGCTGGGGGCTGCTTGTAAGCAGCGTGGCGCAGTGCATACTCCTGCGTGCACATCATGTGTGCGTCCAACGTACTCTTGACTTCAGCACGAAAACTCGACTTCTCACGCTCCCGACGTTTGTCATCAGCTTGGCGTTGTTGGTGCTTCCTCCACGTCATACTGCAGTTCTTCCAACCTCCTCGGGCTCCATCTCTAATCTTGCCTTTGCATACCCATGTACCCTGGTCATTGACCGATTGGCACTCCATACATGTCCACGTGCCAGCAGTACGTCCTGAAGCCATACTTGAATGGTGCAGCTCGATCAGTCTTCGCGCACGCTCCAATCGCAACACCACACGAGCCTCAGCTCGTCTTCTCCTGGCTCTCCTGTGCCAGGCGGGACTCCGCTTCCTCTTCGACGCCGCCGTCGACCCAGTCGGCCTCGAACAGGTCCTGCACCTGCCTCCCGACCGTCCGCAGCTATGGCTGCGGCTGCGGGCCGCGGGCGCGCGTGCGCCGCGCCTGGGCGCGGCCGCGGGTCGGGCTGCCCTGCCCGCCCTCGGGCCGCCTCCTCCTCCTCCTCCTCCTCCTCCTCCTCCTCCTCCTCCTCACTTCTCCTCCTAATCCTCCTCCTCCTCCTCCCCCTCCCTTCTCCTCCTCCTCCTTCCTCTCCTCCTCCGCCTCCTCCTCCTCCTCCTCCTCCTCCTCCTCCTCCTCCTCCTCCTCCTCCTCTGGACCTGCCCAGCCTAGGGGGCTGGCTTGGCAGATGTTGGTTTTCCATTTTCGCGTCGTGTGCTGGAGGGTGTCCCCGTCCGACTCGGAGACCAGGGTCAGGGGCTTACCGTGCTCGCTGGTTCTCGTGTGCAGGAGTCGGGCGGTGGCAGGCCCTGAGTCACTCGCTCCACCCATGCGTCGATGCTGCGTGGAACGTCCCTCGACTTGAGCCGAACCTGCGCAGAACTCGAGTCGACCTCGAGTCGAACTACAGTCGGCCCGTATCAGAAGGATGCGCGAGAAGGACGCAAGGCCCTGGACGCCCATGTCCAAGCTTTTCGAGAGGGGCACGGCCAACGAAAGCGGCCGAGGATGGACCGAGGAGGCAAGGATGCAATGGTATCCTTGGGAAGGTTGCCCATCCTTACTATGCGGGTTGACTGTAGAGCCGAACTAGGTTCGTCGATGAGAACCTACCGGCGGCGGATGGGCGATGGCGGGTCCTGCTTCCCCCCATGGGTGGGCCACTCACCCACTCACCCCCCCTCCCTGCGTCGGGGGTTGCCCAAGGTGCCCCTGGCCCAAGGTGCCCCCAGCTTTTCGCTCACTTTCGGAACCCCTTTGGCCCTCTATGCTAGGGCTCCCAACTTCGCGCTTCGCGCTCCGCGAAGCGCGAAGCGCGAATAACTTCGCGCTCTCGCGCCGCCCCCCCAAAGGGAGAAAAGGAGGACGAGGAGGAGGAGGGAGGAGGGGGAGAAGGAACGAGGACCGCGAAGCGCGAATAACTTCGCGCCCTCGTGGGAGCCCTTGTCTATGTCTCGTGAGGGGTGCTCTGGAGGCCGTGGGGGCCTCCTTGGAATGCCTGGGGGCACCTTGGGCCAGGGGCACTTCCAAGCAGCACCTGAAACTGATGGACGCCGCAGAAACCTCCGAAAATCTTCTGGAAGCCCCCTCGGAGGCCCCTTCCTGCATGAGCCTTCCTGAAACATCCCAAACCTGCGAGTGCATCCCACGCTCGAGAACGCGAGGCGGGATCACAAAGGATCACCGTGACCCTTGGCCTGTCGGTTGAGCAGGGACCGACCGTCCCGGCATTCCTATAGTCCTACCACGAAATGGCCTTAGAACCTAAAAATGTTCTAAGAACAACAACAATGTTCTTAGAACATAAACCCGATGTGTCAAAACAAGACGATATCAACAATCCATGTTCTAAGAACATTGCGTGAAAACCACAAAAAGTTCTTAGAACATTGTTTGGTGGGGCTATAGGCGAGCCAGGACGCTTCGCCACTGCTTGAGTCGGCCGCTGCATGCGGTTTTGTCATTCGTCGAAGACACCGGGCGGGATCCGCAGGGAGCACACCCGGCTGTGTCCCCATGCTTTGGACACCCGAAATGGGGACGGAAAGAATGGGCACAATGCCCCACAAATGTTGTCCCAGACCAACAGCGGCCGCTGTTGGGCAGGCGGCCCTCTGTCTCGAATGGACACAGGCCGCGGCGGCGTGGACAGCGAATCCTGTTCAAAATGCACAGGAACTGCCGTTGGGCATTGCACCCATTCTTTCCGTGCCCATGTCGGGCGTCCAAACATGCCGGCGCCCCTGACAACGGGTCCCGGGAGGACGGGGTCCCGAAGCTGCCCAGCCACTCTTCTCGGGCCTCTGAGGCCCGACCGGGGGCCCCCGCGGCCGCCGCCAGAAGAGCTGGGTTTTACTGGACGGAGTGGCTGGTCTCGGGAGGAGCACTTGACAGGGGATGCGTCGACGCTCATCCCAGGGCTCCGTGGGGTTTCCGAATAGACCAAAACTTTTGGAGCCCAACCCTGGGATGTACCATGGGGGGGCATCCATCCTCGATATGGGGTGCGTCCGGATGGCCCCCTGGGGTGCTTCTCAGAATTTCTTCCTTTTCCTGAGCAGCCGAACTTTTCGGGCGGAACTCGGGGCATCGGGGAGAACAACCGCCTGCGAGCCCCGGTTCCCTCAGGACCCGTGTCTCTCAAGACCCACATTCGCCTCATCGCGAGCACAGGAACATCGGGCCTGCAACTGTCGCTGGCGAGGGCGTGGTAATTTGGCGCGGCAGCACCGTGCATGTGATAACCTGGGGCACCTGCACTCCTCTGCCCTGCTGTGTCCTCCTTTTGCGGCCATCCGTTCCTGCATCCCTCATCACTGCTCCCGCCTCCTGCTCCTGCGTCCGCATCCTTCTCCCCCTTTCATCTCCTCCTCCTCCTCCTACATTTGTTCTGCTCCAACCTCGGGTAGCATTGCCTCGCGCTGAGGAGCCACACGGTCAGGGCAGTACGGTGAAGGAAAAAGCGTCACCTTCGAGGTATTGGGGTCGGCGGCACGGTTCCACTTGGTGATCTTGCCGCACTTTTCCAGCAGCTGCTTCACGAAGTCGTCGGACACCTGGCCAGGTAGAGCTTCTTGCTTACGCCCCCCCTCCCGCGACAGACGAAGACCAAACACGTAGCTCTCATTGCACGTGATACCGTTTTCCGACCATGGCTACATTGAAGGGGCCCCAGGACACACAAATAAATATACACAAATAAAATAATTCCCCATATTTTCGCATATTTTCTGGGTTTTTGTCTTCCCGCCCAATTCCCATATTTTCCCATATTTTCTGGGGGATGGACGATTAATTGTGTCTGTGTGTTTTTTTCCCTCCTGATACATACCGCCTCGGCGAGGCGCAGCAGGTGAAGAAGCCCAAAGGCTCGGCCGATTCCCCTCCGAAAGCGCTCGGAAACACGAGCGGGCGGAGGCAGACGCACGCGCGAGACTGAGAAAGGCCCAGGAGGCGGGAGGATGAGGATAGGGGACCAAGCAATGACATGAACATACCCTTCTGGGGGTCCGCGCGGACTTCTCGGATCTGCGCTGGACCCCCCTAGCGGCGCCCCTGGCGCGCCCACGCGAACCTCCGAGAAAATAATGTTTATGCCCTTGCTCGAAGAGGAGGCGATGGGAGGCGGGGGAGGAAAGCTAGGGCTCCCAACTTCGCGCTTCGCGCTGCGCGCTGCGCGAATAACTTCGCGCTCTCGCGCCGCCCTCCCAAAGGGAGAATAGGAGGACGAGGAGGAGGAGGGAGGAGGGGGAGAAGGAACGAGGACCGCGAAGCGCGAATAACTTCGCGCCCTCGAGGGAGCCCTTGGAAAGGGAGGGGCAGGGCTGCCTTGCCGCGCCGCGCCGCTCGTGCCCAGCTCCCTGCGGCTCCCACGCGCACACGTGCACCCCCGGGGCTCGGCCCTCCACGGTCCTGCTCGGCCCCCGCCCCGCCCCCACGCACACAAATCGGGGAGACGTAAGACCCGGGTACGGGGGACTCGGAAATCCCCGACGAGGTCGTCAAAAAAACGACGAGGCCGAGCCTGCATTTTGACGAGGCCTCCCGCTGCAGACATCCCACGAAACTCCTCCTCGTCAAAATCCGAGTCGCGGTCGTCAAAAAACGATGGCGAACCCGGGTCCTGGCAAACCCGGGTCTTACGCTCCCCCGAACAAAGCGGCGGCAAGCGGCGCAAGGTGCGACCCTCCCCTCACGGGCCATGCGCCGCGAGAAGGAGCTCCAGGACGGAGCGCGAGCGCGAACACGAGTGAGGCACGTGCCGAGATGGGCGGGAGGACCGCGTGCGAAACGCTGCCACCGGAACCTTCGGGTAACGGCTCCATGCGAGGCCACGGAGCGTGCGAATGGTGTGCCGACGTGGACGCGGGGACAGCATGCGGCACACTGCCGCTGCCGTCTGCGGTCGGTGGAGCTCCCCCTGGGGCCACGCAGCGTGTGAGTGGTGTGCCGACACGGGCGGGAGTGACGTATGCGACATCCTGCCACCGAGGGGCCTTCTGTGGAGCTACCCTGTGACGGCGCGGAGAGCCCTGCCGTCGCTCGAACGCCTATGATTCCCCGTGTACGGTTTGGTTTCGGGTGCGCTCGCTCGTTCTGAGTATGATCCTGGATGGAGCAGCCCAGATCTCCTGGCGCTGGCCTCGCCGAAGCAAACCAATGCGCACGTCCGAGCGATGCGATGCGAAGGCGCGGAATGGAGGGCAGGGGGAGGGGAGAGCAGGAGCCTCGCGCGCTGCCGATCCAAAACCAGAGGACACGGCTCTCCACACGGGAGGGCTGTGAGCAACGAGCACATCGAGGCCTCCCAGATGGGGTTCCATTGCCCAATGCACGCATTGCTTTTTTGTTAGAAGCAGGTTTTTTTGGAGGCAGGTTTGACTTCCCAGTGCACGCAGTTCCTTTTGTTTTTTGGGGGGGAGCAGGCTCCACTTCCCAGTTAAAGGGGCCCCGGGACACACAAATAAATACGCACAAATAAAAATATTCCCCATATTTTCCCATATTTTCGGGGTTTTTGTCTTCCCCCCCACTTCCCATATTTTCCCATATTTTCTGGGAATTGCCGATTAATTGTGTCTGTGTGTTTTTTCCCCTCCTGACCAGTGCACGCAGCTCATCCCTGGTCGGAACATCGCGCCGCATCGCAGCTGCATCGGCGACGCCGGCGCCGCCTCGGCGGCGCCGACGCGGAGAGCGTCGGGCTCCACACGTCGAGCCCCTTCGGCGCTGCCTCGGCGAAGTGCGGCGCGAGCCTCCGACCACGTGCACTCGGACCCCTCCTCCTCCTCCTCCTCCTCCTCCTCCTCCTCCTCCTCCTCCTCCTCCTCCTCCTCCTCCTCCTCCTCCTCCTCCTCCTCCCCCTCCCCCTCCTCCTCCTGGCGAGGCCCCGAGTGCAGGCGAGCGCCGATGCTCGCAGCCCTGGCGGTCCCCCGCCCCCCGGGGGACCCACCTCTCCTGCGCCCGCTGCGGCGCCCGGGCGCGCCCTCGGCCGCCGAGGGGGGGGCCGCCGAGAGTGGGGCGCCACTCGGGCGGGGTCGTGGGGGCATCGGGCCCGCTCGGCCGCCCGTGACATGGACTCAGGAAGGAGGTCGATCAAGAGATCGACCGGGAACCCGGGAACCCGGAACCGACGTGAGCATTTTTTTTTTCTGGGTTCCGGCTTTAGGCCGATTTCGGTGACCGATTTCGGTGACCGAAATCGGTCACCGAAATCGGCCTATGCGCTCCAGGCCGATTTCGGTGACCGATTTCGGTGACCGATTTCGGCTCATGCGCTCCAGGCCGATTTCGGTGACCGAAATCGGCCTGGAGCGCATGACCAGGACACCCGGGAACCGGGAAAGGGGAACCCGGGAGCCCAGCCGCCCACCAAGATCGGCGGGAAACTGTCGCCAAATCTTTCAGGATCCGCCACTGCGGACCCCTCCGGTGCAAGCGCTGATTGGGGGCAAAACTGCGGAGAAACGTGAGACGTTTGGAGCTCCGCGCGCGGTTTTCCCGGATCAGCGCTGGGGCCCCCCCTGGCGGTGACCCTGGCGCCGCCCCTGGCGAGCTCCGCGTGCGCAAGGGGGGTCTGGCGCTGATCCAGGAGATCCGTGCGGAGCTGATCCAGGAAGTCCGCGCGGAGCTCTGCGGGGTACTGCTTACAGCCGAGGTTGAGGAGGGCACGCGATAGGACACAAGACCCTTCTGAGGGTCACATTCCCATTGGCATATAGAAGTCATGGGTCGCGAATCACAGGGCACACGGGTATGCTGGATTTTGCAGGGTCGACCTACTATGTTCAATAGAGACTAATCCAACTTAACAACATCCCTGGACAACCCCTTGGACAACCCAGCAGGGTCCAGACAACCCCCTCCAGACAGCCCCCCCCTTGGACAAACCTCCATGGGATTTGCCTCGCATGAGATGTGCTGCTTGGACGGTTCCTCCCGGGGCCGTAGGCGACCCGAGGATGGAAGGGCGAGGAGGAGGAGGAGGAGGAGGAGGAGGAGGAGGAGGAGGATGAGGAGGAGGGGAGGAGAAGAGGGAGGAGGAGAGGAGGAGAGGAGGAGGAGAGGAGGAGGAGGAGGAGGAGGAGGGAGGAGGAGGAGAGGAGAAGGAGGAGGAAGAGGAGGAGGAGGATACGGCACTGCCGAGGGAAGCGTCGCGCTGTGCACGAGCGCCCTCCAAGGGCGCCAAGCTGCTGGCAGCCTGGCTGGCCTGTGAGGAGGCTGGGACCCCACCAAGAGGACCTCGGGTACCAGCCACACAGACAACGACACGGGGATTAAGCCCCGCAGCCTGGGTGAGAAGGTGGGCTCACGTGGAGCCTGACCCAGTGAGTCTCAGGGTCTGAGACAAGTAGCGGACGAGGTGCGGGAACTCGACGTGAGCCCTCCACTCCTTCGTTCGCAGGATGAAAACCTTGCATGAAAAGGCGTCGGAGGAGGAGGAGGAGGAGCCGTCGTTTTATCGGTTCCGTCGCCGTTTGTTCACCCGTTCCAGCTCCTGTTCCACTCCTGGAGCCGTTTTTGTTGCCGTTTTCTGGTCGCCGTTTTTTTGTCGCTTCCATTTTCAAGAGACACTCTTTCGGCAACGGTGAAAAAAGGGCCCTGCCGCTTGTGCGCCCCACTGAGGCCCAGGGCCCTGAAAAAGAAAACCCTGCAGGCCATCAGAGACCAGCCTCAACGACAGAGGCAAGCGAGACCCTGCCGTTCCAGGACGCGCCAGGGCTGGACCTAAACGTTGTTGATCCTTGCGCGTTCGTTCTGCTGTTCGCTTTGCTCTACCTGTTTTCCTGTACCTCCCGCCCAAAACGAAAAACAAAAGACAGCCGAACTCCAGCAAAACTGCGTTTAGGTCCAGGTGCGCCCCCAGAGATCCCGACCCACTGCTGCCCGAGACTCCTGTCTGATGGCCCGGAGGCCCACCGACGGCACCCCATGGGAGGCCGACATCGAGGCAGGCCACCCAGGACTGAACAATACCACACTGGTCGGAGATCTGGACTTGAGAGGCCCCAAGAGCTTCACTTGAATGACCGCGGGGGCTGCTAAAAGAATGAGGGTTTTGAGTGGATGCTCAGGTAAACTGCATCCGGACTAACCTGTCTTATGTTTGGGGCCAAGATATGGGCTAAAGAGGCGGAGCCCACTTACCGGAATGACCTAGTCATTTTTAACTACCTAGGGCAAGCGTAATCCGCTTACAAGCTATGATAGGTCAGATATACCTCACTCCGCCATCTACTTACTTATAGAACCCTGTCGACTTAGCGACTACCGCAGACATCCAAGTACGAGGCCCCGAGATCTCCACCCCCGATGATCGCAAAGACCCACGGGCGTTGCTTCTTCATGGGGGGGGATCAATGGGGGAGGTAGACGCGTGCACCTTTGGTGCCTCTTAGAGCCCCAGAACGGCACCTTTCCTCACCCCCCCCCATGCATCGCCATTGTTCAACGCCCGAGCCCCACGGGGATCCACTGACCCAGACCAATCCAGACCCGGGCCAATTGGGCCTTGCAGGAACCTGCAAGATCCTGCACGCGAGCCCGGGTCAGCGCCGCCCCCTGGCGCTGCAAGATCCTGCAAGATCCGGCGCTCTGACTAACCCGCGTTTGGGGGAAAGCCATAAAAAAGTACCGAGACCGCTGCTTCCCGGACCTCTCCCAGGGTGCCTTCGGACCAGAATCTCAGAAATCTAGCGGTGGCGACGAGGGCCTCCCAGGAGGCCCCAGAATAGAAGAGAAAACGCCATAAACAGAAACTTTTGGCGCTCCGCGCGGATTTCATGGATCTGCGCTGGACCCCCCTCCCTGGCACGCGGAGCGCACCAGGGGCGGCGCCGGAGGCGCCGCCTGGGAGGGCTCAGCGCGGATGCAAGAAGCCCGCGCGGGGTGCTAACAGTTTGTGTGGATGGCGTTTTTCGTCCTCGAAAGAGGCCCCCAAGAAAGGGAAAATCGGGGCAAAGGTATGTGTAGGGGTACCTTTTCCTCCTCCGAGTCTGCACTGACCCCCGTCTCTAGAGGCCTCCTAGATGGGGTCGGAGGATCGCGCCGCATCGCCGATGAATCGGCGACGCACCGGCGATGCATCGGCGATGCATCGGCGACGCACCGGCGATGCATCGTCGACGCACTGGCGATGCGTCGGCGACGTCGACGTCAAGCAAAGCGGGCTGCACACCGAGCCGCATCGGCGATGCACTGGCGATGCGGCGCGATCCCCCGTTCCCACCTATATGAGGTCCAATCAAAGAGTCTGCACTGACCCCCGTCTCTGGAGCCCCGAGCCCCGCCCCTCCCCCCCAGGATGCGCCAGGCTTAGGTCGGGCATGTCCCCCTACAGGCCGATTTTGGAGGACAAATCAGAAATAGCAAAACAAAACAAGGGGGAACAAAAAGCACAAGAAATATCAAAGCATCGTCCCCAGACTATTTGCTTTACTATTCCTGACTGGTCCCCCTGTGGAGGGACACGCCCGACTTCACGCCAGGCCGGGGGCCCGCCTCCGTGGAGATGCGCCCGACGTACACGGTGCAGGCCGCCGGGGGCGCCGGCGCGGCTGCGGCGGGCGCGGGCGCCGCCGGCGCAGCGGCCGGCGCCGTGCCCCCTACGAGTCCCGGCGCCTGCAGGGCAGGGCTGCCAACAAGCTGTTGTTTTTGTGGCTTTGCCCCGAGATCCTGGCGTCGCAATGTTTTCGCAGAGGGCGTTCTCGCTCAATCTCGGGTCCCGGGAACCCTCACATATCGATCAGGCTCGAAAAACTACGCAGCAAGATGGGGTCGGGGACTCGCTCTGGGCGTGATGTTTTGTTGCGATGTTGCAGTTTGTTTGCAACGTCGGATCCCAGGGTTCTTATTTTGAAATCAAGGCGCCTGCCAAGAGAGACTCTTGAGGGTGGTCGGCGCCACCACCCAGAGTGCTCTTGGTGTCCACAAGTGCTCTTGGTGCAACTTGGCGGTAAGCAGCAGCAGCAGCAGCAGCAGCAGCAGCAGCAGCAGCAGCATAATCGGGCATGTCCTCCTACAGGCAGATTTTCGACGAAGAACAAAAGAATAACAAAAACGACCTGACGCGGGCAGCTTGCGCGGGAAGGTCGGCACAGACGACCCCGTTTTCTTGTGTCGCTCACCTGGAACACAGGGCTGAAGCTAAACGTTGTTTCTCGTTCTGTGTTCGTTGTGTTGCTCGATTTGCTCTACCTGATTTCCTGCACCTTCCTGCCGTAACGAAAAACGAAACACAGTCAAAGCTCAGCAGAACAGCGCTTGGGCCCCGCTCTGGTCGACAACTCTTTGATTTGCTTGCAGTAGCGACCGTCACTGGCCCTGGCCGCCCCCCCGCCCCATACGTAGGGAGGGGGCGGGGAGCCCGAGGGCGTCTGGTCCAGCAGCCGTTTCGCCTCAGCCTCCCACGCAGTCGATTCCAGAATCGTGTTCCCGCCCCGCTGCCGGCTAGATGCTTGGTTTGGACGCCCACGATCCCGAGGAACAAATACACTGAGGTGCGCATGGCTGTGCTGTCACCCATGAAACGTCACGTCATCTCACGCCCGTGTTGACCTCCGTTTTTCCAAGACCTTGCCAAACGGCGCCCGCGCGAAGCGTGACGTTACTGGCCCCCCGCCCACCTCTCCCCCTCTCGGTAACGCCCGCTTCTGCCTGGGACAACGCAAGCTTTCATATCATATGGTGTCGTGTCCTTTGCAGCTCTGTGGCGCTCACGGCGCGCCCACTCTCAAAGGGAGTGGGCGGCAGTAGCTCACTGTCTGGACAGAGCTAACACTTCAGAGTGAGCATGTCGAGAAGGCAGCAGCTCTCTTCCAGAGGTCAACAAGTCGTTGCTTTATTGTTAAAAAATAGTTCCTCAATGTTCCACTGGTTGTTCCACTGGTTCCTCAATGTTTGTGCAAGCACAGCGTACTACCACGCGGGAATCGAACCTAGATCTCTGGTCTTTTGAACTTTCGGCACAGGGGTCCCCGTGGAGGGCATGCGCGTTCATCCTGAATTGTGTGTTGACGGTCCCTGAGCCCGGCAAGGGCCCCCAGTAGGCCGGAAACGACGAAAGACCTTCGTGCTGATGGTTGTCAATGCGCTGGAGGTCGGGGACTCCACGTGAACGACGATCAAAAACGGGTATTGCGCGAGATGACATAGCGACCTAAAGCGGCGGCTTACGCGGGCCGCCGGCGCGGCACGCTGCATTGAAGAGACGGGGGCGCTTACGCGCGGCCTTACGCGGGCAGCTTACGCGCCAATGTCGGCGCAGACGACCCCGTTTCTTGCTCGCTCACATGGGATTCGCCACCGCCGCAGAGGCCGACCAAGATAACAATAGGCAGAACAAGTATTCGCAATGCTGAAACTTTCTCGGTGCTTCGCACATGTTTTATCCAATCACGTCGTCATCATCGCAGCGCGCTCGGCGGACTGCGCCGCTCTGACTGCATCAGGGGCCCATTTGGCGCACCACCCTAACGTTTTAAGTGTTATTTTGCAGACGCGTCCACAGGATGGTGAGCGTTTTCTGATTCGGCGTTTCGACATTGAAAGGAAG